CATGTTCTGTTTGGGGGGGGGGGGGGGGGTGTCAGACTGCAGCATAAGCTGAGCTTGCATTTAAATATTAATTTAATATAGCCACAATAGATATAAATCTTGTGTACCAAATACCTTTACAAGCCCAGATATTACCAAGGTACCAGGTACCAAGGTCAGAGCCTGTATAAGGAGAAGAGCTGTGCGAGGGACCTAGCTGACCCCACCCACTACAGGCTGCCTGCAGAAATCTATAGGAGGGAGGAGAGATGGGATCAGTCACCCTGCACAAGGAGAGAGAGCAGCAGTGACTGGACTTTATTACAGGAAGCTCCTGCAGAGAGGCAAAGCTTCACAATGGATTACTGCACAGATCTGGGAAAAATACAAAAAGTACATTAAAAATAAGTAAGATTATATATGATAGCCTGTATCATAATCTTTGTGAAAATGACTTTTACATACGTGTTTGTGGTAATTGCTGTTAACATCCCGTTTCATTTGGTAAAATACTGCTTACGGCATTTGCATTGAGAACGTGTGGCAATCCCTTCTTCGGATTGACCAGTATCATATTTCTACACAGATGGTAAAAATAGATAAGACATGTTTAATAAAATTCGAACTAGTGTTATCACCTGGCTGTGTATTACCAGTCAGTAAAATGTGACCTTTTTACAATGTTATTAATATGAAAAGGATCATAATGTTGGTATTTTTTCCAGAAAGGGTGGTGACTTTAGTTGTAACCAATACAAATTACTATTCTGACCAACAAAAGATCAAATGTATTGGTTTGCTATGGTTTCCTCCAAGCCAAACATTATTACTCTTTGCACTAAAAGGAGAACTATGGGTAGAGTGAAATGCCCTCATCTCCATAGTTACAGCCGACGTGTGACATTGCCAGTATCACACTTCGGCTCAATAGATCAAGAACTGAGCGATCACATACTGCTGATCACTCAGCTTATGATCTTCTCCCTGCAGAGAGTGGTGACTACAGTCACCGGTCCCCATATGGATTCCCCCCTCCCCTCTATGTTCCTCCAGAGCTGACTGGAGGGACAGATGGGAGAGGGGACGGGCACAGCTGGTAAGGCAGCGGGGGGGGGGATCCCGACAATATCTTTCCCGGCTGCAGTGCAGCTCTGCGCTGTCAGCATATAGCGAGCAATTGCCTGCTATATGCTTAGTTTTTGGTCACAGGAGGATATTAGTCACAGTTTCCCTTAGTGTTGCTCTACAAGCTGGCCTATCAATAGAAGTGAGGTACTGGACAGAGACAAAGGTTTCCAGTATGTGGCCTACAGGTACTTATTAACTGCTGCTCACTGCATGGAAAACAGTAGTGATTGATTAGATTTCAATGTCCTGCTTTTCCACTGGAGTTCTTTTTTATAATTTTTTTAATTTAGTAAGAAATTCGACTATAAATGTTTAAAATAAATATTTCAACGTTAAGGCTGTGTATCAGTGTATTAATAAAAAATCTCAAAGGATCTGCATCTGCAAAAAGTTTTTTTCAGTACATTTCTGGCTGTCAGTGGTTGCCAGGGTCAAACCTTCAAAATGGTGGTGTGCTCCTGGAAATTAAAGCTGAGCTCCATGCAAACAGCGAATGAAGGATTTGTATTTCTGTCCATCCAGTCCTGAGCTTTGCACAGGTCAGCCCTGTCTATCAGGACAAGAGACCTCATTTTTCTCTGCTGCAGTTAAGTAACACTTATAAGTCTTGTTCCTCCTCTCAAAGTGTGAATGACACTGATGAGCTGTCACGTATGACTGTCACTGCACTCTCTCCTCCTATCAGTATGTTCCTTGTTAGCACCTGAGCAATGCAACACAGCTGATCGGCTCCTTGTGCTGCTTCTCCCTCTCCAAGTCTGGGCTCTACTGTACAGGGGACTACAATATAGTGATACTAAGTCACATTCAGGTGCTTACACTGCTTGCATTTAAGTATTCAGTGATGTATTAATAAAAAGAAGCTGCATTTATTGGTGCCTTCTATATCTGCCTGGAATGCAGAAAAATGTGTGTTGTAACTGCTCTCATTATGAGACCTGAGTTCTAATGTAATCCACTTTTATTGCAGACATTCTGCAATTACCACTAGGTCACCATAGGGTTGGGTTGATTACCTGATTTTTCAGTAAATTCTTACATCTTCAATACTGGTCTGGAATTACATTTGTCTTCTTGTATTAGCTTCAATGATAATTACATTGGAAAGGTCATAAATGCACTTTTTTTTTTCTGAACACAAGGTCAAAACCTGACTCGAAAACAAAGTGGTTTTTTCGCAGCCCCACTGATGGCTCTTGCATTTCCCTTTAAGTAGAAAGAGCTGTTAGTTTATTATGTCTTTTATTTAAATAAAACATTAGATTTCACCTGTTTGTATTATATGAATTTTATGAGTATAGATTAAATAGTAAAAATCAGTTTATGGCAACAGATAGATAAATTATTATTATTTTTTCAGATAATTTAAATTGTATATATTCATTGATAGTATTAGTAGTATTTTATAATGGTTTATAAAAGGGCCAACATATAACAGCACTGTACATTAAATAATCAGGGATCCCAACCTGAAAGAAGCAATTTTAGGGAGGTGTCCCTCTCATTTCAGGGAGGTGCCCTCTCCCCCCCACCATCCACGGAGGGGGGGTTAGGGGGGTCTGGGAGAGAGCACCCCCCTGAAATGATGGCAGATAGCACAGGAAGCAATAGCTTCTTTGCTATCTGTAGGTTTTTATTTCTGATTTTTTTTTTTTTTGTAGTCTGACAGTTGAAGTCGTCAGAATAAAAAAAAAAGGCATAAGAATGCATAGCTAGCTTCCTATTGGCTATTGCACTTTGCAATAGCCAATAGCAAACTAGCTATTGCACCCGCCCTCTGCTGCTTTCAATCACCAGAAGAGGACCTGATAGAAAAATTCAGGTCCCCCTCTGCTGATTGACAGCAGCAGTGGGCGGGTGCATTACCAATAGGAAGCTAGCTATGCATTTGTATACGTTTTTTTTTCTTTTCTGACTGACGACGGGCCGCGGCTCCCGATGTCAGAAAAGAAAAAAAAAACGATCGCAGGGAAAGGGTTATATGCTCGATCGAGCAGATAAACCTTTCCGGGAGGAAGTGTCTCTCTCCCGGGCGGCCGGGAGCCACTATCTAATAGCGGGAGACTCCCAGAGTGTCCGGGAGAGTTGGGATGTCTGAATAATAGAGAGTGTAAGGCCCCTTTCACAAGGCCGGTCCAAATGGGTCCTAACAGGCGGACCCGATCCGATGCCCAAAGTAAGTCTATGGGCAGCTGTGTGTAAACAGACGGGCTTCTGTTTACACCTGGTTACCCCCGACTCCGGCCAGGTCTGGAAAAATAAACGGAACAGTGTTCCGCTTTGACGGAACAGATCGTGCCGGATCGGGGTAATCTGATGTAAATGACACCCCAATTCCCCATAGACAGACATAGGGCCTGGTAATTGCAGTTCTTTCCTCCATCGCAAGATGGAGGAAAAAACTGTACACACGGAAAAAACTGTTCACAGCGGCGACATCTGCTCCGTACTGCTGTGATCAGGAGAGGATCCGTGCACGGATCAGCCTGTGTGAAAGGGGCCTAAGTTACAAACTCCAGAAAATAATATGACCCAGGGGAAGAGGCCCTACAGGCTGACAGTCTAGTATTTACATGTGTTTATAAGAAACTGAAGCGCACTTGGCAGCCTGTACTGGATCATGCAATGTGCCTTGTTACTGACCTGCTTAAGCTGAGACAAAAACATGGACCGAGCTCCTCTGATCTGAGCTACATACTAGCTACATCTGTATTTAACACTGACATTTTTTTCACAGAGGGGACATAAACATTCATTTTAAAGTCATATATAGAATTGAACAGTATGTTGATGTTTTAATAAATTATATATATATGTCTTGATATAATCAGTAATAGTTACACATAAAAGTATTGACAAACAAATAGATGTAGTGATACACGCTTAAAACTATACACAAGGCATCATTCTACTATATTTACTAAACAAACTCTGCAGATGCTCAAACCAGTGACCATGGTAACCTAGAATTGTACACATACACATTTGGATGTCATCTCCAAAGTGCATGACAACTATATGCCCGCATTCACACCTGTGCATTCCAGGAATGTGCATTTTCACATTTGCCGCGCGTTTGCAATGAGTTCAATGGGGTATGAACGTGCAACAAACACAGCAAAAAAGCTCATGTAGCAAATTTTGTGACATGCCTTCCGTGTTTTGTGTTTAATCCTTCAAACGCGGAGGAAAAACGTGCATCTTCCTGGCCGTGCTTGGGGTGCCATTCGAAATCAATGGCAACACAAGCATGTTTCGCACTGTTTCTGTCAACACATGCCAAAGCACGCGTTTGGCGTGCATTCACGGAACGTGCAGGTGTGAATGTGGGTAGTCTAAAATACAAATACACTTTAGCAGATACAATCCTTCTGTTTTCCAATTAAATGGAAAATGCTAGACCAACTTGACAGCCCCATTAGTCACAATGACTACAGCAGGGAAAGGGTGCTGCTGATGTCATTGCACTGCAAATGATACCTTCCACCTCCTTAGTGTGCAAACAAAGCCCACTGGCTGTGCATTTAACCCATGCAGTGTCAGATGTGAAGAAGCTGTGCTTTACCAGCTATAGATGGCATCTGTCAGTTTGCACTCACCCGTTGAATCTGCAGCTGGGATCTCAGTGCGCTGTGACCGCTGCTGAGTCAGCATGCTGCAGGGGTCAGTGTCCTGCTACTTGGCAGCAAAACAACAAAAAGGATCTTGATGTAAAAATACAATGGTGATTCCTGGTGCTCATAGCATCCATAAGGACTAAAAAAGGAAACCTGCTTCAATGCTACAGCTTCTTCTTCATGCATAGTCCCATACTAATGCTGGCCATTATGACAGCAGAACTGTCCTACCAAGACAGGCTGCACATGCGCAATAAAAACCAGTTCACTAACTGGCAGCTCATGCTGGTGTTTTGTTCAAAAAGGCATCCCCAGCGCCCCTTAAATGTGAATGATATGTTGTTCTGACTGTTGGCCACTAGAGGGTGCAGACTGGTACTGCGCACACAATGCATTGGATGTACAGCTGCAGAAGCAGAGCTCTCACTCTCCCAGGATGGAAAATCTAGCATTCTTTATTCACCATCATTGCCTAACAATTTACAGGCAGAGGTCCAATATGGATTTCAATTAAACATTTAACTAGAAGCCTTGGAGTGCAAACCTCACCAGTCCTGTTTTGCACTCATATTGCATACTAAAATTGGTGACAAGTGCAAAGGTTAGGATGAAATGTAGCTTTTCATTTCAGATAATGTTAATCTACTGGGAATAGAGCATAGTTGTCAACATTACCAGAAATGTTGAAAGGACACATTCCCATGATAGGAAAAAAATAACCAGTCACTTTGTGAGTCACCCAGGAACATTAGTTATTCTAATCAATGTCAGAACTGCCAAATTGCTGGTCCAGGTCTACATTCCTGCTTATGGTAAAAAAAAAAATAGTAATATAGAATCCTCACGCTTTTTAAAACTCATTTCTGACAGGTAATAATATTTATTTGGTTTATTTATAGAGCACCGACAATTTACGCAGGACTTTCAAATTTTGTACATTCATATCAATCCCTGCCCTCAAGCAGCTTACAATCTAAGGTCCTTACCTAACATGCATATATGCACATACACATACAGTATACTAGGGCCAATTTAGACAGGAGACAATTTAGACAGGAGACAATTAACCTACCAGCATTCCTTTGGAGGGGGGGGGGGGGGGGGGGAACCAGAGTACCCAGAGGAAACCTATGCAAGCACAGGGAGAACATGCAAACTCTGTGAAGCTAGTGTGCTGGCCGGGAATCAAGCCCCCAGGACCCCAGTGCTGCAAAGTAACATTTTTATTGTTGTTTTTTTTTGATTAATATATTATCACAACCATATACTTACACTTATTCTACACTGTTATCAACCAGTCGCCAGTGGCTCACTTGCATACCTTAGTTAAAGGAGAAGTATTGGAAGAGTAAAATGTACTCTTCCCAATACTTACAGCCGGTGTGCGACACTGCAGGTGTCACATGCCAGCTCTATAGATCGAGAGCAGAGCGACCACAAACCACTCTTTGCTCATGTCACGGTCTTCTCCCTGTAGAGAGAAGTGACTGTCACCTGCAGGTTTAACCCATCCTCAGCGCTCATTGGAGGGAGAGACACGGGAAGGGGTGGGCACAGTTGGCTTTGGCTCTGGAGAGGCATATTGTTGGGATCTTTCCTGGCTGCAGCATGGTTTTGCACTGTTAGCATATAGCAGGCAGTAGCCCGCTAGATGGCGATTGTGGGTCACAGGAGGGCATTAGTAAATTAATGAAAAATTAAATTGCAATGATTCAAAGATACGTGTTGCAGTGATTCCAGTGTATTGAAGCATCCCGAAAGATGCTTCACTATACTGCCCGGCTGGTTACAGCTCTCTGACATTATCACGTGCAACACAAAACCATCAGTCAGGAGGATAATGAGGGCCTGCCATACCAGAGCTTCGGACAGTGGAGGAGAACAATAGTTGCCTAGGAACATGACAAATAAGGTAAGTATTGGTACCTATCCCTCCCCTCCCCCCCAGACAAATATGTATATAGTCAATGCTAAAAGCAGTACATAGAGTTGAACAAAAGTGTAATTTAAATAAAGTTAGAAGAGGAAAAAAATAAACACTGCGATGCATTATAACAGCCCATTATGGGGTGCATCGGTACAGTGTGTGAAGGAGATATCACTCAGCATTGCAACAACCAATCACACCATCCCTGCGCAATGCACACCGACGCGTACGCATTATATGGATCTTTGGGAGCAAGTAAAAGACCATGCAAAGACTAAACACTGTTATATTACATCTTCCATCTGGGATACATGTTCTATTTTTAGAGGTTTTTTGCAAAACAGTTGTTTTACTTGGAGTTTTACTTGTAAGGAGAGACAGGGATAAGGAGGGGGCATGTACATCTAAAGGGATGTCAGGATGCATTTTATTGTAAATGTCTGGGAGCATTGCATGTGTGTAAGGGGAGAGGGAGCGTGTTTATGCTTTATTATTTTTGTTTATCTGTAATGTGTACTAAACATATGTGTGCAATTAAAATACCATTAGGTTCATTGAGTTTGTTTCCAGCACTTGTACAAGGCAGCTTGCACAATGACTATAGTAGGCTGCATTGAACAAAGCAGTATCAAATACTGATGCTCAGTTTTTATAACTGTGTGGTAAAGAGGGACATCGCTTAGGGGTAGTTCCATGAGTTCTGTTAGGAAAAAATACTACAAAATACCTCATAAAATAATTCAAATCAATCAGGTATTTGTGGGAGTCATCTTACTGTCCTTAACAAGCAAATTCTACCATAATTTTAGCATAATACAGAAAGGGAAAACATGCTTGAGTGACTGGTTGCTATGGCCATGAAACATGAATGGAGAGACAGTTAGGATGGAGAAAAGGGACAGTGGGTTTTAGGTCAAAAAGGTTAATGGTTTCTTATTAACAAGACTCCTTGGGAGCTATATTTAGTTAGATTAACTGAACCTAATCATTTATATATTATATACAGTGAACCAGGGCTTTGTAATAAATCTCTGTAGAATATAAAAAAAGCTCTTACGTTTATGGTTTTATAGAATCAACATTCTAAAAATGGATAGTCTAACAGGGCTTCTCCCTATCTCTAAACCATTTTATAAGCTTCTGAGATCAATAGCAATACAACATGTATGGGCTAACAACCACCCCCATATTGGAAAAGTATGATAACTCCAACTGGGACCCTGACCAGGACCCTGACCACTGTGCAATGTCCACTAGAGTGTCACTCTTTTACAGCATAACTCTGCAGCCAAAACAGTAAAGTACAGCCAGTCTGCTGGGAAAGCGAGGGATAAAGCAAGTAAAACTGCATTTTAATGTTCCCCAAAACAAAAAGAGCATTCACCCTTCCCACTGCAAGGGAAACTTTTGATTTTACCTGGAGTTCAGTTTTAACCTGCTGCCATCTCAAGGAATTCTTACTGAAGACAGCAGAATCATGCTCAGAGTTGTTCTGGAATCAGCAGTTTGCAAATAGAAACTCTGCTTATTGAGCTGGGATGGAAAGCGTATTGGTCCCTTCTAGTTGTCTATTGATTTGCTATATTTATATAAATCATTGTGGTTCTATATGCGCTGCCTTCTGGATACTGCCTGTCTGCCTGCTGCTTTTCCAGACTTTTAGCTTTTACTCATTCTAGGATTGTTTTTGTTTTGTCAACAAAATTAAGATGACATATATGGGAAATCTTTATGTCAAATAAAATTGAGCTGCAATGTTCCTGTTTGTAAACATGTAGCTTGCAACAAATCAGGAATTATGTGTACAGTAATAATATATCACAAGAATACACATTCACAGATAGAAAGATGTATGGGAAATGAGTGGACACTTAGAAGATTAAGAACAAAATGTCATGCTGAACTAGAAAAGTTTGTATTCCCGATTGTTTGCCTCCAACGTTATACTTTGAACATGCCTAAACTCCTCCTGCTCTGAGAAATACTTGTTCTATAGACTTACAGGGTTATTCACAAAGCTGCCAAAGGCAGCCGAGTGAATAACCGAGCCGAAGTGAAACGATGTTCGGCTATTCACTCCGGCTCAGTATGGCTGATTTTAGCCGTACATCGGCTGCCTTCGGTCAGCCGAACATTCTCTGCATGTTCGGCTGAGCCGAAGTGCAGAGGGACTTCGGCATTTGGCTTGGCTATTCTGCTCAGTACCTCCGAGCTACCGATCCAAATAGTAAATTCGTGAAGAAAAAAAAAGGTTGAAAAAATATTTTAAAAATGTAAACAAATAGTAACAATAAAAAATAAAGATACAGTAATACCTTGGTTTACGAGCATAATTCGTTCCGGCAGCATGCTTGTAATCCAAAGCGCTTGTATATCAAAGCGAATTTCCCCATAGGAAATAATGGAAATTCAGATGATTCGTTCCACAACCCAAAAATATTCATATAAAATGATTACAATACTGTACTGTAATATAATACTGTACAAAATATAAAGAAAAATAAACCAATTACAGGTACCTTTGTGGCCGGTGTGAGAGGGACAAGAGAGAGGAGGATTATTGTGTAGGACAACTTTCACTATCACTAACGGAATCACTGCTATCTCTTGACTCAATGGAATCTTTTTCATTTCGTGAAACCTTAACAAGGAATCTATCCAATGTGACATTGCATTGTCGTTAGACAGACTCATCGCTCGCACTGCTACAGCCTTATTCGGTGGCGCTTTTCTACAAAATTTTGCTCTTCTTGCAAGACATTGCTTGTATATCAAGGCAAAAATTTTCAGAAATGTTTGCTTGTCTTGCAAAACGCTCTCAAACCAAGTTACTTGTAAACCAAGGTATTACTGTATTTAAAAAAAAAGAAAAACAATTGGGCAGAGCTCCGCCCAGTTCTTATTGTTTAATGACAGGTCAGCATCCCCAGGTAATTTGGGGATGCTAATCTTTCATTACAAGTGGGTGGAGCCAGCCGTGAGTTGCCATTTGTGCTCGGCCGCCTTCGGCCAACTGAACCAAATGCTTCCAGTGGCTGAACAGAGCTGAAGGATCAGCCGAAGCTACGGTTGGATCTTTCGGCTCTTTAGTGAATAACCCCCTTAGTTTTCATCTATTTAGGACTTTATTTTGTATTAAACAAAAGACACTGCGCTTTATCTAATATTATACAACTCTAAGTGCATATACTTAGTGACAATTATACAAAATGTTCACTCCAACTTATATATAGTCCATATAAAAATATTTCCAAAAATGATATACAAAATAAATGTGATGAAATACTTGTGTTCACTTTCTTTATATTACATCAGTGA